AAAATACTGCATACACAGAAGGTGTTTGAGCTGTGACATTGCACCACACTAAACATTAAAAATCACAAGACTAGTTAAATTACTTTTCTATTTACAACGACTTATATGCCACCAATGAGTCCATGTATTTTCCTCCAAGAGCATTTAAATTAATGACACTCTCTTTTACGAGCCTCTCAACTCTTCTGAGAGGAGGCAGATTTGCATACATCCCACCCCTCCCAGACCGCACCTCCGGGTGGGATTTATTGGGCTTGTTTGGTTTGGTTTTACTCTCTTATACAAGCACCAAAAGTTATCCGTGTCAAGTACACAGTAGAATAGAAACAGTTTCAAAAACAACGCAGATGACAGTGTGCGTAATTTGAAGCAAGATATGCTAAGCATTATGAAGCTCCTACTATGGATCCACATGTCACAATTGAACATTATGGAACCACTCGTAATTGAAAGGATGCCCATCAATCACCAGCAATGAACCCGAGAATACTAAAATAACAAACAGTAATTCTTAGAATCAAGTAAAGTTAAAGAGAAGTCATACCAAAGAGGTATCTGCAGGCAATTCAATAGGCATCGGCTAAATATCTGTTTTGTTGCATCATCATTATTGACAGCCATATGTGCTTCAACATATTGCTTCCAATATTTTGCCTAAGCAGCAAACACACAGATAAGAACTCATTAGTAAATCATCGCTCGCCTCTGTTCCAACACTTAATTTTCTAATTAAACCCTAACATGCATATTTGATATGTACCTATAACCCACTACAACCTAAACACCACCAAAATTATGTCTAACACTTCTGTCAAGATTTAACGTGGTTGTTTCTAAGAATCCGTATAGAAAAAGGGTGCCTTTTTTTCCAACATCAAGAAATGAGAATAGTTATGAACTCACCGCGGTAGGAAACGTAGCCAAAAGCTGCTCATATACGGGCACTGCCTCCGATATCGGCAATCGCTAACAAATAAGAAACGGAAGCATGTAAACTTAAAAGCATAAAACAAAATACAAAGTGCAAAAACCATGCAAATTGTCATGTGGCTCACCAATGCTTCGTTCGCAAGTGCTTCTGCAGATTCGACACTGTATTTATCTTCCATCACCCACTTCAAAAGCCAGTGATGAAGTAATTTCGTGTATATATATTTGTCTTAGAATATCAATAAGGATTGCCCAACAGATGGTTATTCCAATTCAATCACTAGGGTATAAAGAAACAAACACCCAAATAAAGATTTCGAGTGATTGTCGAGATTGAATCGACCAATTTATGATTATACTCGAACAAGAACTAAAGAATTGATGCAGGAAAAAGCTTTACACTTGAAGAGTGGGTTGAGTATCGATGGGATGCAACTAGGTTACGGGATTGAGATGGGCATCCGCCGTATAGCGGTGGCGGAATAGAGGAACCGGAGAAGGGGTGATGTGGTAAAGTTGACCGGTGTCACCACGGTCACTCCAAGCGAGCAGTTTTGGGGCATTTTAAAAAATTCACTTATTTTAGAGTTGATTACAAGTTTGGTCCCCGTAGTTTTGTAGTTTTAATGAATTTGGTTTATAAATCAAAATAAGTACTAATTTGGGACTGTGGTTTGCGTTTTTGGTCTACTTAACTACTTGAGTCTCTTCTTCTTCTAACGTAATTTGTTAACCCAATTAACTCACAGGGTAGTTTGGTCATTTTATTCTTTGTTTTGTCTTTTTTCCTATCAAAGACTTTAAAAATATCATATATATATATATATACTTGGGATCATGTGAGACCAGCATGTTTTCGTGAGACCCGTGAGACCAACATTTTACACTTGAAACTTCACAGCAAAATGCTGTGAAGGTGACTTTTTAAAACCTTCACAGTGTTTTTGCTGTGAAGGTTCGACTTTTTTTAAACCTTCACAKTGTTTTTGCTGTGAAGGTTCGACTTTTTTTAAACCTTCACAGTGTTTTTGCTGTGAAGGTTACGTGTAAAAATGTGGTCTCATGAGTCTCACGAAACAGGCTGGTCTCACGTGAACCCAAACCTATATATATATATATATATATAGGGGTTGGTTATTATACGACCATTGTCATTTGTGCAACCAATACAACCTAATCTCAACCGTCCATTTCATTTGATTAATATGTGATTTCATATAAGTTTTTATTGTTTCCTAATATAAAATATCGATCATAATTAATGAACCATATTTATATTTCATAAATATTCAAATCATAATAAATGAACCTTCATCATTTTCATAAATATCTCAATATATTGGGTTGTATTGGTTGTTAAAATACGATGGGTTGTATATATATATATATATATATATATATTAAAGCATTTGACAAAAACTCTTAAAAACCATTTTATGCATAAAGTACTGTTATCGATGCATATTACTTAAAATTCAAGATTACAAGTAATTTTACATAAGTACAACTTATTAAAGCTTCATTTTTAAATTCGTGTAACTAACTGTACATAAACATAATCAAATACAGAATAAACATTCATTTTAAATATATAAAATCTAAAATATAATTAAGATAATCATTGACTTCAAACAAAATGTTTAATTGTTATATTTATAAAAAAATTATATTATTAAACCAAAAATAAATTATTTTGTTATTAAATCTAAATTAAATTATAATAAAAATTTGAATTAAAGAAGTTATATAAAAAAATGAGAACTATTTAAATAGTTAATTTGATACTAATATCGATTTGTTTTTTTAAATATTTATATTATCTTCAAATTTATATTTATTCAAAAATAAAAAAATTATCATTTTCTCAAAACCACGTAAAATCGTATTATATCGATAGAGACAAATAATAAAAACTAAACATTAAAATGGATATTTATCTCGCTACATTGCGTGAGTACCCTTCTAGTTATATTATAAAGCATTTGAAAAAAATTCTTAAAAACAATTTTTATGAATAAAGTATTGTTTATTAATTCATATTACTTAAAATTCAATATCACAAGTAGACTATGGGTAAGTAAAATTTATTAAAACTTAATTTTTAAATTTATGTAACTAACTATAGATAAACATAATCAAATACGGGATAGACATCTCATTTTGAAAAAAGTGAGTCCGGTCAAGCTTTATTATAATCGGTTACAAGTCGTAGGTCCTAGTTCCAACCGTTCCCAGTTATTTAAAAAAAATTAAATTTTTTAATAATACAACCTAAGCTGCAAGTCCAATTTTCACTTTTCAATCTAACATATTCACGATTCCACGAACAGAAGCTGCAATCCTGGCAAAGAAGTTGGAATAAAATCGAATAGAAGTTGGAACAGAAGTGAAGATCCACGAATTCATGAAACAAAATAGCTCACTGCTCCTTATCAGCTTCTCCTAAGTCCTAATCTTCTTATCTGCTACTCCAATCTCACAGCTTTTTGGGTAAAAACCTGTACTTTTGATTTCCAATCTTGATTTTTGAATGATTTTGATTTTGTTTGCTTCATAATTGGTGATTTGGTGAATGATTTCATTGGTGTTTTGTTTTATTTTCCTGGTATTTGGTTTGATTTTGTTAATATGTTAGTAAATGTAATTTGTAGGCAAATTGAAATGTTAGGTTAATTTTGCAATTTTGTTCACAATTCAAAGTTATATGTTTACTATTGATAAACCGTTGTTGATTTTTATCTTGTTATTGCTATTGTTAGAAAAAATGGAAAGATTTTTTAAAAGGAAAACATCAACATGTGAATCGAGTTTTGCTCCTTCAATGCCTTATGAAATTGATTTGAACGATCTTCCTTGGGATCTAGTCGACAGGAAAAAGATTTCAGAATATCATCCTAATCAGAGGGATGAAATAAAGAGAAAATACTTGGTTAGAGGACCTTGTCAACCACGGGTCATGCCTTTCCATATAAATCGTCGGGGAGTAAAAGAAGGCGTTTTTGTCCATCTTGGTTAGATCAATATGCTAATCGGTTTGAGTATAGTGTAAAAATGGATAGAGTTTTTTGTTTGTATTGTTATTTGTTTAGAGATCATTACGTAGGACAATGTGAAAGTGATGCTTTTATGACATATGGCTTTAATAGTTAGAATAAAACGGAAAGACTTGGTCGTCATATCGGTGACATTAATAGTTTTCACAATAGAGCACTTGAGAAAAATGAGGATCTAATGAGCCAAGATCGATCTATTGTTGTTGCCTTTCATAAGCAAACTGAGAAGGAGAAAAATGAGCACCGAACACGATTAAATGCTTCAATTAAGGCCTCTAGGTTATTGATAAATAATGCATTGCCCTTTCGTGGTCACCTGAAATGTCTATTTCTAAAGGCATGTTATTAAAAATATTAGCCTTAATTGATGGTTCTAATGGGAATATAGGTAAAGTGATATTAAAAAAAATGCTACAAAGAATAAATCAAATGGTGTCCAAGTATTCAAAAAGATATTGCTACTTGTTTTGCAAATCAAATACTCAAATCCATTCGGGAAAAAAAATACTGATATTAATATCAAATTAACTATTAAAAATTCTCGTTTTTTTGTACAATTTTTTTAATTCAATTTTTTATTATAATTTAATTTAAGTTTAATAGCGAATTAATTTATTTTTGGCTTAACAATATAATTTTTATAAAAATAATGATTCTGTTAGATATCAGTGACTATCTTAATTACATTTTAGATTTTTATATTTAAAATGAGATGTTTATCTCGTATTTGATTATGTTTATCTACAATTAGTTATATCGAATTCAAAAATGAATTTTAATAAGTTGTACTTATACACAATTTACTTGTAAATCTTAAGTTTTAAATAATATACATTAATAAAAAAATATTTCATATATAAATAATAATAAAATTTGTCAAATGATTTATAATATAGTATAGATTATACTAACTTTAACAATTACCAACATTAGGTGCCGTTTACCAAACGCTTACTCGGGTAAGCGCTTACCACGTCACATTACCTCATGAGATGAATATGGTAAAAACCAAGAATCTTATCCGGTAAGAGCGAGACAATGACCAAGAGTTTTACCCGGTAAGTGAGGACGATGACTCTTACCATGGTAAGCACTTATCAAGTAAATTGTTGCATATGATGTCGTTTTGGTAGACAAAAATTTACCTGATAAATATATAATAACATTAAATTTTATTGATAAACACAAGTATTTGAAGTATTTGAAACCTAATAAATAATATCCATAAAGGACGGACCATGACCACCACTCCACCATAAATTCTTAAAGGGGAAAAAATCCTAAAATCGATGTTCTAATAATATATAGCTTCAATTCAGTGTGCTGCAAACACGTCTCCCCTATTTATTCCACTCTCGCTCTTATCTCTCTTTCACACACACACACACAAATACACACAGATATCAGATATGGCGGTAATAATCATCGATGGCTCAACCGTACGGGACTTCGTCAACAATGAAACTCAGTTCAAAACCAGCGTTGACGCTCAATTTGAGGCTCTCGATGCCAACAACGACGGCGTTCTATCCAGATCCGAGATGCGCAAGGCCTTTGACTCCATGAGGTTGCTGGACACTCACTTCGGTGTCGACACCGCCATGCCGCCTGAGGAGCTTACTCGTCTTTACGACTCTGTTTTCTTGAGCTTTGACGAAGACCACAACGGCACTGTTGACCTGGACGAGTTTCGGTCGGAGATGAAGAAGATCATGCTGGCCATTGCCGATGGGCTCGGGTCTTCGCCGATTCAGATGGCGGTGGAAGACGATGATCAGAGTTTTCTGAAAAAGGCCGCTGATCTGGAGGCAGCGAAGATCTCTGGGATTTCTTGATCGGACGGTGGTAATTAGCTGTGGTTTTGTTAGATTGCATCAATCTCTTTGTATTCTACGGTGTTTCTGAATGTCAATACTAATAAAGTCAGAATAAAGGACGGTTAAGATTCTATTGTCTGATTTTGGCTACATGTGTATATCACGTGTTTACCCAGTTTATATATTTACTTACGCGGCTAATCGGGGCTTTAAATCGATAGAAATGATAATATTTTTAAGGTAAATTCTATTTTGGTACTTAAAATGTAAAGATATGTCTCATGATTTTATTTTGGAACCTTTTTATTCAAAACAAAATCTTTTCCTTTTTATTTGGACAAAAAGCTGATTACTTAGTTGGTATTATGCAGAACTCGTTTTCAAGGACATTAATATGAGAGGATATTTTTTAACTCACTCAACGGTTAAGGCTAGTGGGAGGCAGAGGTGTTCATAGGTTGACTTGATTGAATGGAGAGCATTTAAACTACCCAACCGATGTTTGCGATTTGAAATTTTTTAACTCAAATCCAACAAAACCAAAGTGCAAGTGAATCCAATCCAATCCAAACCGTACAGGTTGGTCTGGTTAGTCGAGTTGATACTACAGTAATTTAAAAGTTCTTCTAATCTAGAATATGTTGTTTACTATGCTCATAATTATAGCTCTATCATCAATTGTTTGATACAACTTATCCATACTCATTAAATCTTAAAGTATATCACATTCAACTACTTTTCTCAATTTGCTTATATACGTTCACGTTTACTGATTATATACGAAAAAGTTATATAGATATGGAGAATAGACTGAAAATATATGCATATTAAGAGGGTATTTGATAGTGTAAAATGTACATAATAATAGAGACATAACAATCATATTAAATCTAAAAAAAAAATACCGTGTTCATTGGATTGAGTTGGGTTGAAATGACTATAACTCAATTCCAACCTAACACCTACAGTTGAAGATTTTACACCTTGATTAGATATCGGGTTGCTTCTGGTTATATTAGTTTGCATTGGGTTAGGTTGGGTTGGTCGGGTTTTTAAGCACTCCTGACGAAAGGTCTAGACCAGTATTGTATTTAGATATTGTCCTTTGGAATATATATATATATATATATATATATATATATGTGTGTGTGTGTGTGGACCATATGAATTCAGTGGCTTCATAAACCATTTGAGCTCAGATGACTTTTTGATGCAATATAAATGGTTTTGTCCCTGGAATAAATTACTTTAGGAAAGTTAAATTATTTTTTTATAAGAGGGTGTTTGAGATTGCTTATAAAAATAACTTTGACTTATTTTAATGTGGCATCGATAATAAGTACTTTTAAGTGTTTGGATAAACAAGTTATTTACCGGTGTCAAACCGGTAATAAAGAGTTTTTGAAGAAGTTAAACTCTTTTGACTTATAATAAGTTGATAAGTACTTTTGTAGAAAAACATAAGTTGTTTTAAATAAGCAATCTCAAACACCTCCTAAATCTTTTTAACATTTAAAATAATTGGAAAAGTACTCGTGAAATACAGCGAGACACATCTCGATTTTAATATTCTATTTTATTATTTGTCTATGTCGATGTTATAATACGATTTTATGTGTTTTTAAGAAAGCAATAATGATTTTATTTTTGAATAATATATAAATTTGAAAATATCATAAAAATTTGAAAAAATATATATCAATGTTAATATCAAATCAATTATTTAAAAATTCTCATTTTTTATGTAATTTCTTTAATTTATTTTTTATTATGATTTAATTTATGTTTGAAATAATTTATTTTTGGTTTAATAATATAAYATTTTATAAAGATAATAATTAAGTATTCTGTTATAACTCAATTATTATCCTAATTATATTTTAAATTTTTTATATTTAAAATGAGATGTTTATCTTATATTTGATTATGTTTATCTGCAGTTAGTTACACGAATTCAGTATGAAGCTTTAATAAGTTATACTTACGCACAATCTACTTGTAATATTGAGTTTTAAGTAATATGCATTAATAAACAGTACTTAATGCATAAAAAAGTTTTTAAGAGTTTTTGTCAAATGCTTTATAATATAGTATATATTACATTTTTATTAATTGTATTGAATATTTTAATAATATAATAAATATCGTAATATCTAAAAATAGAGAAGCTAATTTCTTTGTAAATTTTGACTTTAGACTCTTTATTTTAAAGAATTTGTTGAAGATGCTCAAAGAAGAAAATAAATGATTAACATAAAAAAAACAAAACAAATGCTTCAAACAATGAAAGTTGACTCCCATACAAATTTCTCATTCTCTAAGATGACGTTTGGTTCGTTGGAATCTGATAAAATATGAAAGAATTGGAATGATCAATTTCATTCATGTATTTGGTGAGTTCTGATAGGAATTCAATTTCCACATACAGTGAAATGTAAATTCCTTAGGTTCTAGCAAAAAATTTCAATTGTTTGATACCATAGGCTTAGAGGATTCGGTAAATTTCAATTGTTTGATACCATAGGCTTAGAGGATTCGGTTTTTTTTTTACTGATGAGATAAAAATAGATAATTAATAATTTAATTACATAAACGAAATATAATAAATAACACTAAAAGAAAATAATACCAGTTTCAATAATTTACAACTAAAACTTTTATACTGTTAATCATCAAGACTCAAACTTAAACTTCAATATCCTACTGCTGTATATTAATTCACCAACAACGATATCTGATAATAACTACGAATCAAAATGGTAATACTGTCAACAACGATAAGATGGATGGGCTCATTTTCGTAGGTCTTGTCGGCTTAGTAGTCTTCTACTCTGCTTGTTCAAAATGTCTTCACTCTTTCTAATTTCCTTCGCCTTGTTCTAAGCTCGTTGCAATTTTTTCTGTATTTGCATATATATACATTCACATGTAAGCACATAAACTCAGTTAAAAAAATAAAAATACATATAACAGTAGAAGTTTTTTATAGACTTCGTTTTATTCAAACTTTTATGGTATTTTAGATTGTGAAAGAACAAAATATTACATTTTACTTTTAAGAAATAAACTGTATTTCTAGGTGTAAAAGCTGTTCATGGGTAGGATTTGTCCTATCCGACCAGAACAACCATTATCGAAAAAATGGGTAGACCCATAATTTAAACTATGCATGGAAACAGGATGAAGATGGGGCCGAGACCCCAATCTCCATCCTTACCACAGTTTATGTTCCCACGCAGGACAGAGAGTCAGGGTTTTTTTCCCCTTTTATGTGAGTGTTAAATATAACACTCAATCCGAAATAGTTCATGTTCAAATCTCACATATTTCTAAAAGTTTGGTTTTATGGAGTATCAAATATTCATACGTGAACAAGATCATATTATACATAATTATTTGATCAAACGTTTTTGGTTCTCTACATTTTTTATCAAAAAAAAAAAGATAATTTAGAAAAATATATATAAGAATAAAGGTAAAAATACTCTTTTCTAGATCTAAAAGATACTGAATATAGTTCTTTATAAATAATATATTTAATACAATATAATTAATATAAGGGGACGCGGCAAGTCGGGATCACATTACCCGGTCCCCGGTTTTCCAGGGAATCCCCGACCACGGTCAAGGTCGATACACCAGGTCCTTAATGGGGCAAGTGTCATTCTCATGCCTAGTTAAACCGCTAAGAAGTCAAAGTAAGTCGATAATCATATGAAATAGTCTCCACTTAAGGTCCTGAGGGGACTCAAACTAGCGACTTCTAGGAAAGAGCCCCAAAGCTTGGCCTTTATTTACGAGTTGAGCAATAAGATAAAACTTCGGGACAAGTTCACGGAATGAAAATACGTAAACACGGTAAGAAAATAGGATGCTCGTGAGCGAACCACTGATGGTGGAGGCCCGGACCTTCAAGTGAATGACCTGAAGATCATTTAATGAGTCGGGTCGGGTTCGAACCAGGCCATCGGTTAAGCCACGACGGTTGTGAAGCAATAGAACTAGAGTATATCTGTAACTTATACAACGATACATTATCTTTTTTATCGGTACATGTATGCCGGTTAACTCGGCAAAAACATACACAATACAACAATCGTACATGTTTCATAACAGCACGTCGTAAAAACGAAATAAAAACCGCGATCTCGAGCTCCAGATCTTACTTGGATATACATGATCAATTATGAGAATTATGTTGCTAAGCGGTAGTTATTTGTAAACTTACATTGCGTATACGATTTCCCCACTGCTGTCGATGTCGAGGTCGGGATCGCTCTCGAGATCCTCGTCCATGTCATCATCGATGTCGAGGCTTCCGGTGAGATACTGGTTGAGGTTGTGGGCCCCGGCTGGCGGAATGGTGGCTTCAGCAATTATCTGCATGATTTCATCGATGCTTTGGGAGGGTTGGTCAGGTCCCCCAAACTGATCCATTGCATTCTCTTTCATGAGGTCTCTGGGGAGGTTCCGCATAAACCATTCATGGTTTCGAATCTCGTCCATGGTTATCCGCTGTTATAGTTGCGAGAATTAGTAACGGATAAAGTTATCAATGGCACAGAATCAACATACTAGGAAAATATCAACTAGTGCACTACATTGGCTGTGTAGAATAGACGAGCCTGTTCACGATAACTCCTGAACAGTCTCGTCAAAGTATTGCATATATATACGGAGGTGAAATAGAGGGTAACAGACCTTAGCAGGATCGGCCACAAAAATTCTGGAGATCAAATGGCGGCATCCGGTGGATATATGAACATAAGCTGGGATTGAGTACTGAACATTGAGAATTCGCTGCACAAACAAGCTATCCTTAAGTCTAAGAATTGCAAACGGGATTTTCATTTATCGTCGAAAAAATTTAGTATAAATTACCTGTATTGTCTTGCGGAAATTCTTAGGCTCCTCGGGGTCTTCAAAAGGGTAAGCTCCCACGAGCATAACATATAATGTTACACCACACGACCACACATCTGCTATCTGAATCGATAGGTTTATGGTGGACGAGAAATTAGCAACCGACTTTCAGTCAATAAGGATGCAAGATAAATAGATAATCACAATTATAATAATGTGTTAATCCAAGATGTTAGTCCTTTAGAATGCGGTTGGTAGGTGCACAAGACAGGACGGACAAGAGCGAGATAGGGGGGGGGGGGGTGAAAGAACTATCGGAGGTTTTAAGGATTTGATTTTACTTAACTTGACGTGGGTAGTTTAGTAATTCACTCAATTTAACATGGGTAGTTTAGTAATTTACCTATTTTTTCATCTCCCCGATTTTTGTTCCACCTATTTTGGTGGGACAAGAAAACTACATTTTTGTAAAACTCAGTCCTGTCGTGTCCCGGTCTAAGTAATTGTTTATATGATTTGCCCCAAATGAAACGATGCATACAGGGGAAAAAAGAAACAAAGAGAAACACGAAGTTACATGAACAAAAAATGCGCGCTTACCTTGCCATCGTATTCTTTCTTAAGCAAGACTTCGGGAGCAATATATGCAGGCGTTCCAACGGTTGATTTTGGTTGTGAATGCAGAACAGAGGACTGATCAAAACAACCGAGAAATACAAGACTTAGAACCCAAACATCACACAGAAAAACAAGAAACACAAGAACCCTATTCAATCTTGTATTTGCATCATCAAGAACCATATGGATCATCAAGAAAGAACCTACATTCACTTGACATTTTTGCATATCAACACAACTTCAAAGAAACCACCTTTTGATTCATGCAAAACCATCATAATCTTAATAATCCCAACATTAATGAACAGAAGAACGATATGATACTGTTTGAGATGGAGCATAAAAAAGCAAAAAAGGGAAGACATCGACAATTTGTACCTTGGAATACCCAAAATCACAAATCTTCAGCCGAGGAGCTTGGCTACCATCTAAAAGTGTGTTTTCCAGTTTCAAGTCGCGATGGCATACTTGCTACAATGTACAAAAACACCTTTTACATTAAGTTGTACTATTACTTTTAAAGATTATCGATATATGGAGGCAGAATGTGAACGAAGATAATACTAGTTAAATACCATATTATGACAGTAGCCCACTCCAGATACAAGTTGCTGGAAAAAGAAACGCGCCTGCAACACAAGCACCATTGTTGCGTTAGTGCACGCAGAAACACAGATAACGATGAATACAAAACCAAACCAAACAAATCCAGTACATCCCACCTGGAGGTGGGGTCAAGGGTCAGATGTACACATACCTGCCTCTACCCTACAGATATGCTAAATTTTGAAAAGCTCAATATGAGTGAAGAATAACAATATAAATAGAAACATGTACAGGTAGAAGGACATAACAATGAAATACAATGCATCAAGTACATACCTCATCTTCAGGAAACCGACCAGCGTTACATATTCGCTCAAACAGTTCTCCTCCAGATGCATATTCCATAACAATAGCCAAATGTGTTGGTGTCAAAATGACCTGAAACAAATAGAATATCATTACCAACAAATACTTTCTCAATTCCCATGATAGCCATTACTCTAGAAGAAGTTTGGAGAAAGAACCTCTTTGAATCTGACAATATTGGGGTGCCTCAGTGATCTGTGGTTGATAATCTCCCTTTGCACATTTTCATCTATCTGTTTGATTCATAATAAAGAATCAAATAACAGTAGAAATATAGTAATGTAAACATTGCAAGTTGACAAAGTGCAAGATCATAGAAAGTAAAGTTCATTGGCAATGCAACTTTGAAAGCTTCAACTTTATGAAAGATTGAGTAGTCTTTTATAAGAATATAGTGTGCTATACCAAAATGGATCTTGGAAGCTACCCATTTGAGCACCCCCCACCATTTTGTTGTTTTTATTAGATAAATAAGTAGTAAACAGCATCAAGCACCTGTTCCAAGATTCTGGTTCACTACCTAATTATGGGCATACATCATGCATTAGTAGCATTTACAAGCTCATATTCAATGCAAGAAAAGCAACATTATTACCAAATACTTCAACTTTAAACCTAACAACAAACAAGATATCAGTTACTTGCGTAAACCAGTTCAGTAAGCTCAACTATCTTAACTAGATTTCTGTCTTCATTCTGATCCTGTTTTTGGGCTCCAATCACAAGATTTGGTGCCATTATACTGCTCATGAAAAGAATCAACCAGAATAAACCAACACAATCCAAATCTTTTGGAACATCAAGGTTCTTGAATTTCCCAGAAATATTGAAGAAAAAAGATGCTCAATTTGAACACTAACCTTCTCACCTCTCTCGATATACTTTACAGCAACAAGCTCGTTAGTCTGCTTATCTCTCATCAACCTCGCCACCCCAAAATTACCTGCACCAATGTCTCTTACAAGCTCATACCGATCGCTATCGTGCATGATAGGCAAATCCATACCCGGCCCCATCGTAAGTGGAGATCGATCCATCTTATTCAATCAAATTCAAAACCCTAAAAACGCAAATCAAAACTCCTCCAACCCAAGTTGTAATCATCCACAGAAAACAAGAAAACTAGTCGATTTTCATCCAATCATCAAAATCATAGAGTCGAACGTGGCAAAACAGCGACCGTAGGGATTGGAGAGAAGATTGAGAGTGATATTGGTTGGTGAAGTGAGATGGAGACGGGAAGAACCGAAAGTGGGTTGAAATCTGGAAACCCCGTGAAAGCTTTACTTACTCCTTAGGGTTTAAATTTAATAATCTTTGAGCACTGGGATATAGGTGGTGACGATCATCATAGACGGGAAGATCGGAGATTTTCCCGGGAAAATAGAAGTGCTAATTACGAATTTACCCTTTGCGTGGGGTACGGAATGGATAAGGTTCACATACCACAAGGAAGCTTCCTTTATTTATCGTTATCTTGTCATCTTGTAGGAGCTATGATCCTCTACATCTGACCCATAAAAAAAATGATCTTTTAAATATATTTTTCAGATATTGTGAAAATATTTTTTTTGTATAAAACATTATTCGTGTATATATATATATATATCATATGAGACCAAGGCTTTTTCGTGAGACCCGTAAGACCAATTCTCAACCCTTGGATTAGATCTACAATCTCAATATTCATAATCACAAAATTGCCACGAGATTTCTCAATAATTACAAAATTGTCACCGTGCAATTTTAGACCATTAGATCGTTAGCTTATATAGTTAATCAATGAATATAAATTGGTCTCACGAGTCTCACGAAAAACCCTTGGTCTCACGTGAACCCAACCCTTTATATATATATATATATATATAGAGAGAGAGAGAGAGAGAGAGAGAGAGAGAGATGAGCGTTCAAATAAAAACTTGTCCCATTTGTGTAAACCGTGTAAACCAATCTCATCCGCCCATTTTCTTGATCAATGGCTAAGATTAGTTTACTTTATTTTAGGAAATTAAAAAATAAAAAATATTAAGAAATTATTTTATTTCAATGATAAGGGCAAATTGGTAAACAAAAGTTAACATCAATATAACATTAATTCCATAAACAAAAGTTAACATCAATATAACATTAATTCCATAAACAAAAGTTAACATCAATATAACATTAATTACATAAACAAAAGTTAACATCAATATAACATTAATTCCATAAACAAAAGTTATCATTAATATAACATCAATGAACCATTTTATAATGAAACCTTTTTACATTAACATTAATTCCATAAAGAACAAAATATAACATGCACCCGTTTCATCATATATTTATTTCATAAAAGAACACAATACATTACGCACCTGTTTCATTTTCATCCTACCAACTAAACGGATCRACTTCAATCACAAAGCAACATGGATCACCATGAACCTAGATGTACATTCAATCACAAAGCAACAAGGATAACCATGAAACTTCAATCACAAAACACCTATTTCATTACCATTTTACAATGAAACATTTTCACATTGAAACAGTTTCATGACCATTGTTTTTTTAACTTTGTTTATGAAACTATTCATTACAATATTTTCATTAGAAAATAGAGAGATTATATTGTTTCGATTTTTTAACTGTTTTGAAACGTTTGATGAAACCGTTGCATTAATAGTTCATTTTTCTTATTCCACTCATATGAACATGATTCATCATTATGAACCTTTTCATTATGAAACAATTTCATGAAACCTTTTCATTAAAGTGGACAATATGCCTAGAGTATTAATTTGGACAATATGCCTAGAGTATTAGATCATGAACATGCTTCATCATTATGAATCTTTTCATTATGAAATAGTTTCATGAAATTTGCCCCATATGAACCTTTTCATTATGAACATGCTTCATCATTATGAAACCTTTTCATTATGCATTTAATATAATATGCAACTGTTTCTTCGTAATGGAACTTTTTCATATGAACATTACTATATTATGCTATAAATACGAAACCTTTTCATTTTAAAACCTTTTCATATGAAACAGGTTCATAACCGGTAATTTTTAATACAATGAACCTCAAATCATTCATTCATTACATAACAAGATAAAATATTCATGAATGTTTCCAGCTTCATTGAATAAAAAAAAAATCAATTTTTAATATTATAAAATATTAAAATCTTTAAATCATTCCATTTATATAATTTCCATTATTAAATTTCCTTATTTAATATTCCTTAATAACTTCCTTATTTATGAAAAAAATAATGAAAATGACCAAAGTAACCTTATTGATTAAATTTAATTAAAAAAGAATGGAATTTTCCTATTGGTTGATTTTGGTTTACATGGTTTTTTAGAATGACATGGTTTTCATTTGAACCTGCCCCTATATATATATATATATATATATATATACTATATTACAAAGCATTTGACAAAACTCTTAAAAACCATTTTTATCCATAAAGTAATGTATATTGATGCATATTATTTGAAATTCAAGATTACAAGTA